AAGGAGGTCTTCTCTGCAATTTCTCTGTCCTGGGTGAAGACAGGGAAATATGTATGAAAGAAATTAATGAATTCTCAATTCTTTATTCTCACTATCCTATGACTTATTCATCCTATACAATGGGTTCATTGCCACAGTTACATGGTACATGGATATAACGCTGGCCTCAACACAGCTACCCACTTAGCTCTCAGTTTTGCTTTTTATCAAGTATTTGTTATTACTAAACGTAATGGACTGATAAACATAAGGTTGAGATTATTACTCAAGGACTTAGGTAGCTCAGGACAAAGTAGTGCAGGCTCATTCATCCTCTTTTGCTGTCTCAGTCTTTATTCAGGTGGCAAATTCTGCCTGTGCATATGCCCAGGGATCAGCAGTTGGCATGGGTCCATTTGTCCATAACCATGAGAAACTCAGCACCGTCAGGATGTCAGCCTAGCACATACCACCCCTGCCACAGCATGGAAGAGCTGCATACATAAAGGATTTATCCTGACAGCATCCTAAGATGGTTTGAAACATTATCCCTTTAGACAGGAAATGGAGACAGACATGCATTCCAAGTAATATTAAATGGAGAGTGGAGAATAACTGAGTAACAGCCACTTATTACACAGACTGGGGCTGAGATAGCCAATACATATTGCAAAGACCAAGCAAAAACTCAGTGTTTCTGATAAATTATCTGTAGCTTAACACAGCCTAGTTTGAAAAAAGCAATGCAACTTTTACTTAATTCATACTTGTTACTGAAAAATATTTTGTTTTCTTCTACATCTCACGGAATTTTTTCCTAAATTTCTGTTTTTAAAATATTATAAGGTGTCTAAATTTCTCTTTGGATTATGTTTTCAAGTAAGATTTTACAAAACATTTCAAATAAAATTACATTCCATCTTTCAGAAACTTAAAAAAATAACACTATAATAACATGTTTATAAAATTTATTGCATTTTCTTTACTGATTTGATAGTTCAAAGTCTTTATTTGCCTTTTGCGTCTTAGTTTTATCAAGTGAAATGTTTAAACAATTTTGTGTTTAAAATCATTTTGTGCCCTCTAGTGGCAGCCCCGCCAGGCACCTGAACTGTGCCTTGCCTGTCAGACATTACATAAAAATGGAAACAAAACAGTTTATTCCCCTACTAAGTGAAATTTATTATTAATCTGTATGCTTTCAAAAAAATTACACTCAGCTCTAGTTATGATGAGTTAGTAATACTAGCTACAGATTTACCACAAATAGCAAAACCCCCCAAAAAATCACATATATTGTGTAAGCATTTCATCAAATTTGCTCTTAGAAATTATATTGATGAAAACCAACCTATTTGTAGCCATTTCCTTGCACAAAGCACTATTCGGTGTATTTCCTATTAGAGCATTGTTCAATGTCCAGACACATGGTTTTCCCGGGGTCCACAGAGGAGCATCATCATAAAGAAAAGATGTAGTGCCACAAAAGTCTCATCTTCTCTCATGAAAATTCATTTTGCTTTTCTTACTAAAACAGCAAAGTAATAGCATAAAGGACCAGTAACAAAATAAAGATGGAAAGATTTGACACTTTCAATGAAAAGGGGAAATATAAGCTTCCATTACATTTGAGTTCAGAGCTTCTCTTCATTCACTTTTTCTTATTCGAGACAGATTAAAACCATACATGAAAAAAAAAAAGTTTAAATGTTTCCAAATTTTTACTCTAATTTTCTGGACCTGATCAGCAAAAAACCATGCTGCTTTCAAACATCTCCTTTAGCACATATTAATGGTGTCTTGAGACAACTAACTCACATACAATGAGATATTTCATATATAGTCTTTTGTTTTAGTCTGGCTTCCAGCTTTACTCCCTCAAATTACAGGTCCTAGGAACACAGTAAATAATAGACATTTTCACTGAATTACATGTTATTGGTCTTTATAATAACATTCACTTTGCCTCTGAAAATTCAATTCCCGACCAAGCAAAGCCTTGAGATACACACTTTGTGCAGCTAACATGCTCCAAGTCACTATGTACCATTCTTACTTTGAAACTATTGTCTCTCCTAGCCGAAACAGCAAGAAACAAAGCTCGATAAATCCAGCTCTTCTGCTTGGCACTGCAGATGGTTATTGAGGACTTTGGAAGCTGGTTTTTTTCCCAAACATTTAAAAAATGTTTGTTAGAATTGCTTCTAATTTTGCAGGTTAGTTTTCTTGAAAATAATTATTTATGGTTTTAAGACATTATTTATAATATCCACAACAGAGTGCCTCAGCATTGTGGAAATCAGAGCTGGCTCACGGGTGTGAAAGGATGGAAAACGTCATTTGCAACCTTTTTATTGTTCCAAATTCTCTTTGCAGTTTGATCAGTAGGAAAATAACATAGCACACATTTTCCTTTCATATTTTTGCCTTATTGAAAGCATTAGTGCTGGAAAAATCATGACTCAATGTCACGTAACTCATTTTTTTGTTAAAGTCTTCAGATAAAACTGAAAGATATTAGAGAATAACTACTTTAAAAATTACACCTATGTAATTAAGAAATACTATTTTCATTAGCTTTGTAGATCTTACACCTTCAAATTCTCCTGGTAGCAGTTTTTGTCCCTGTTGGACTTGACACCTTTGCTTCTGTTCATTTGAGATGCAAAACTCAAGCCAACACTTACCAGAGAAAAATCAGGCCAAAAGCACTGAGGGGAGCAGGAGGAATAGGGCAGCTGCCACCTCCACCAGACCTAAGGAATTAAGAGAGATGCCCACCTTGAAGTTGTCCCTTTGTCCTGCCCTGGCTGTGACAGTCATAGCCAGGCACTGTCAGCATGACCACTTGGAGCAGGAAAATACCATTCCTGAACCAACTTTGCACCCGTGCAAGGCATCTGTTTGTCACTCCAGGCTGTCCAATGAGAGCAAATCTTAAATATCTATTTAAAACAAATCAAGTTGGTCAGCATCATGTCTAGTACCATTCACTTCAAGTGACAAAAAAGAATTTAGTCTACTCAGAGAAAACAACATTAATCATTAAGAACATTGAAACTTAGATTAATAGGAGTGAAAAGCTTAGGAAAGGAGTTAGATCATGGGCAGTCAAATATATATAGTGCAATAAGTAGTATAGAGAAGGCAGATCAAGGACTATTCTTCTGTAGTTTAACCTATGAGGATTTACATGAATGCACAAGATTTCCCAGATCAATGGGAAATCTTTGGAAGGACTTTGGAAGGAATACGAAGTCCCAATCACTTACCTTGATCTGCAGCAGTCAGAATTTGGGATGAAATCTAAAACCAAGATCAAACTGATCCACATCTACCTCATGGTGGGGTTTTAGTCCTTACTCTAGGTTGACCACATGGGTGGACAGCAGCATGGTGGGCTGTGGGCCAGCTGCCAAGGCTATCTCTTGTGTTTTGCAGAAGAGAACCAGACCTGTGTGAAAGGCAGACACTGATGGTGCATCAGCTGAAGGGGCAGAACACTGACTGATGGAAAGAGAGCTTTGGTGGTTTAAGAACACTAACAGGTGCTGATGCAGGGTTTGAGGATCCCCTCGGGGCCTGCAGGTCAGCAGTAAGTGACCACGCCAGGTCAGGGTGTTTCTACCAGCTGCCAGCTCTCTCTCAGGAGACAGCCAATGCTCCTCAGCTTAGCACTGCTGTAGACACTCAGAATTGATCTCTGTAAACCTGCAGCACCACAAATGTGTTCCACAAGGCTTGCCACTGAGGAATTGGTTGTGTGGTGTATGATGTGGTTTTTTGGTCACTTTACTCACTAATTAAGACAGATTTCCAAATTTAAGCATTAAAGGAAACTGGGGGCTAACATGCTGGACTGGGGTGAGCTGACATATTAAAAAAAAATTGAGTAGACAAGCTACTATTGAGCAAAAATAACAGAAAAGTACTGTGATAACATGTGAACGAATTGTGGAGAAAATGAAGGTCCAAAGAAGAAATGTAAAAAGTAAACCCCGGGTATCAAACACTAAAACCAGCAATAAAAGGAAACAGTGGGTCTTGTAGCATTCCAGTGAATTGCTTCCAGGCGAAGACAAATTATTTGACACAAATCTATGAAGAAACATACTCTCTAAACTATGGCAGAGAAATAAGCAAGATATCCAGATGTTTATAAGAACACATGAAGAACTGGGGACCAGAAACTTTGAACATCTCCTCTGAAACACTTCCTTCTAATTGCTCGTGAGCAGGCAGAAATTTTGAGAGAAACTTGTACCTAGGGATGCAAAGAGAGGTAAAAGATGATTAACGGGACGGGATCCATATGACTAGCCAACACAGGACCAGGAGAAACAAGTGGCTAAATAACCAGGCAGGGAAAAAAGCACCTCGATCGGACTGAGGCTGTTCCACAGGAAACCAACACCAGTGCCGCGAAGGCTAAAACGAGATTTATCCCCCAGCAAAACATTTTCTCTGGACGCCGCAGGCAGCGGAGGAGCGCCGGCAGGACCAGCGCGGCCGCCCAGCACCCGCCCGGCGCGGCTCCCGCGGCGGCTGCCCCGGAGCGCGGGGAAAGACCCGAGGGCTCGGGAGCCTTCCCGGCCGGACGGAGGGAAACCTGACGCGCTCCCGGGCGCTCGGGAGGCGGCGGCGGCGGCGGCGGCGGCGGCAATGGAGCGGCGGCGGCAATGGAGCGGCGGGGCCCGGCGGGCCCGGGGGACAGCGGGCCCGGGAGCGGCCCCCGGCCGGCAGGGGGCGTGGGGGGGCGGGGGCTATCGATGGGGGCGGCCGCTCTGCGCTCGGCTGCTCCGCCCTGCCGCTCGGCTCTGGATTAGCGCAACTGGCGACGTGGGACGGCCCGGCCCGGCCCCGCGCCTGCCGCCGGCACCGGGAGCGGCACCGGGAGCGGCACCGGGCAGGCCGCCGACGGGACAAGGAGCCCGAGGGCGGCGGCACTCTGGTGCGGCAGCCCCGCCAGCGCGACGCAGTGAGGGGCGGTGGCGCAGGGAGCGCCCCGGGGGGGGGCGGCGATGGCGCTGCGAGCGCGGGCTCTGTACGACTTCAGGTCGGAGAACCCGGGTGAGATCTCGCTGCGGGAGCACGAGGTGCTGAGCCTGTGCAGCGAGCAGGACATCGAGGGGTGGCTGGAGGGCGTCAACAGCCGCGGGGACCGCGGGCTCTTCCCGGCTTCTTACGTGCAGGTGATCCGCGCCCCCGCCGCCGAGCCGCCGCCCGCCCGCTACGCAAACGTCCCCGTCGGCGGATTCGAGCCGCTGCCGCCCCCCGCCGCCTTCAAGCCGGCGGCGCAGCAGCCCCCGCCCGAGCCCTTCCCGCCGCCCCCCGCCGGGTATCCCTTTCCGCCCTACGGCGGCTCCTACCAGCCCAGCCAGGGCAGCGATGACGACTGGGACGACGACTGGGACGACAGCTCCACGGTGGCTGACGAGCCGGGCGCCCTGGGCAGCTCCTACCCCGACTACGAGGCGGCGGGCGGCGGCGCCTCGGGCCGGTACCGACTGTCCACCCGCTCCGAGCCGTCCCTGGGCCCCCGCGGTGCGGGGCACCCACCGGGGCACCCGCACCCGCCCGGCGGCGGCGGCGCCGCTAAGAGCTCGGCCACGGTGAGCCGCAATCTCAATCGATTCTCCACCTTCGTCAAGTCCGGCGGAGAGGCCTTCGTGCTGGGCGAGGCGTCGGGTTTTGTGAAGGACGGGGACAAGCTGTGCGTGGTGCTGGGCCCCCGGGGCCCTGAGTGGCAGGAGAACCCCTACCCCTTCCAGTGCTCTATCGAGGACCCCACCAAACAGACCAAATTCAAGGGCATGAAGAGCTACATCGCCTACAAGCTGGTGCCCAGCCACACCGGGCAGCAGGTGCACCGCCGCTACAAGCACTTTGACTGGCTCTACGGGCGGCTAGCTGAGAAGTTCCCTGTCATCTCCGTGCCCCACTTGCCAGAGAAGCAGGCCACTGGCCGCTTTGAGGAGGACTTCATCTCTAAACGTCGCAAAGGCTTAGCATGGTGGATGGACCATATGTGCAGCCACCCTGTGCTCGCTCAGTGTGATGCCTTCCAGCACTTCCTCACCTGTCCCAGCACAGATGAGAAGGCCTGGAAGCAAGGCAAGCGCAAGGCTGAAAAAGACGAGATGGTGGGTGCCAACTTTTTTCTGACCATCAGTGTCCCCACAGGCTCTGGGGCCAGCCTAGACTTGCAGGAGGTGGAAAGCCAGGTGGATGGCTTCAAAGCCTTCACCAAGAAGATGGATGAGAGTGCCCTGCAACTTAATCACACAGCCAACGAGTTTGCCCGTAAACAAGTCACTGGTTTCAAGAAGGAATACCAGAAGGTGGGGCACTCCTTCAAGTGCCTCAGTCAGGCATTTGAGCTGGACCAGCAGGCCTTTTCAGCTGGCCTCAACCAGGCCATAGCCTTCACTGCAGAAGCCTATGATGCCATCGGGGACCTCTTTGCAGATCAGCCCCGGCAGGACCTAGATCCTGTGATGGATTTGTTAGCGTTATATCAGGGGCATTTGGCCAACTTTCCAGACATCATCCATGTGCAGAAAGGTAAGACCCGTATGTGTTTTCTGAAAAAATTTAACTTTTATCTGTCAGTGGTATGCAACTGATATAGGAACCAGTGCCTAAATTTGCCTTGTGTCTGGCTTGCTGGCCTTGTTTTCAATCTTCTCGTGTTTACTCAGGAAAACTCTCAATATAAATACAAAAAAACACATCAGTGACAGTTTGTTTTGTGCCAAAGGCTTAAACATAGTTGGGAGTTTTGCTGATCAGAGGTTGCTGTGTTTGGCTGAGTATCTCTGAAAGCAGCCACATCTAACTAAACTGCCTATCCATTAAAGATTATTGGGCTTGTTTACAAACCCTGGAAATCAAGTGGTATGCAAACATCTATTACTCTGAGGTATGTGAGGTATCTTGAATCTTTTGTCTATTAGGTAATAAATATGAAGTAATATGTTGATGCCGTTGCTCCTCTGATTTACCACTCTCTTCAAGGTGCATGTGGAAGTGTGTGTTTTGCAGCATCAGTCTGATGAGATGTTTAAGTCTGCTGGGACATCTTTGTTCAGCCAAGTGTCCTGTGGCATCTGTGAAAGAGTAATGTTCAGCCACAGTGTTCTTACTTGTTCAACCTTCGCCCTTATTGTCGTGAACAGATGCTCACCTGTTATCCTTTCAGCATCTTTCTAGCTGAAATATGCTATCCAGGTTCAGATTGCTAGTTGTAAGGTACTTTGTGACCTGTCAGAAAGAATCTCAGAAATGAAAAAAAAAATCTACTGTATAACTAATGACACTTGTTCAGAAAAACAGAAGTTTGTAGTATTGTATATGAGGAGATGCTGCTGTTAAATTATTGATAGTCATACATTCTTTACCATTGCACATAGGTAAGTCCGTAATTTTTTTATTATCTTCCTTACCTGTAGTTTTCAACTCAAACTGCAGGAGAGTGTGGCATTTGAGCTGTAAAACAGACCAAGAAAACATGACATACATTCTGCAGAAATGGGTATCCATGAGTTATCCAAGAAAATGCATGAGCTTTGTAGAAAGTTATTTTGGAGATTAAATCCCAAGTGAATTGTCACCCAGAGAAAATCAGCCTTTTTGTCCTTATAGGACATTTCCAGGGGTTTTGCATCTGGAACAGTACACTAAATTTGGTAAAAAGAGTTGAAAAAGTTTTTTCAACAGAGCAGAAAGACAGGTGTCCAGAGGTATGCATTGCTGGCAACAGCTGAGGAAAGAGAGTTGCTACAAAGTGCACAATTTGTTGTTATTTAAGAAAATAAGCTTTTCATAAAAATTGTATGCATCAAAGTCAGATTTCCATTCCCCTGTCAAATATCAAAAATTGTGAGTGGAAATTTAAACAATCTAAATTTTATTTTGAAGAAGAAAGGGAGGTGTGAAGATTAGCAATTGAGGAGTTTCTTTGCTAGCTTCTGTGGCCTTGTGTTTTGATAACAGCTTTCAAGTATTTTAGATTTGGGGAGATGAGTGGCCTTGGCAATGCCTCATGTTTGGGAGCAGAGCATGGTAAAGTGAGTTGTCATCCAGTAGGATTATCTGTAAGCTTCTGGGAAAAAATAAAAGGACATACACTTGCATTAGATGGAAAAATCCAGCAGACTGTATATACTATTTAAATAATACGTCCTCAAGCTTTAAAATTATATGGTGGTCTTCATTGAAATATTTTTGGAAACAAGCCTTTGAAGAGAGGATTTGGAAATAATAAGATGTATGCTGAAATCATCCTTATTTCTTTTGTGGTTCTATTTGAATTTACACTTACTGGTAAAGTGTACCTTGCTGAATTGCTGAAGGTTTGTTTAAATAACTAGAGCAGCGCATGAGCATCAAGTATGTAGAGTTGATTTTTGGGCTAGAGCACTATCCTTGAGCAGACTGGAGCATGCAGCTATTAATGCAGCTCCAGCACCTCTGAACTAGCAGTGTGTTCTCAGTATCATCTATGGTACACACTAGGAATATGGCAGGGGCTTGGGAGGGTGGTCTCTTGAGTGTACATGGCCATGACAGGAACTGACTTATGTGGGTTGTTTGTTGCTTCTGTTACAAGACAGCAAACTAGATGAAAACTAGAGAGTCGTGTTTTGCATTCTATATTGCTGGCTTGTTACTCTTAAGGGGTACTTTTAAGAAGGTACAGCTTTTTAATGCCAATCTGTAAACTTCACATGAAAATATGAACTGTTTGATGTTCTTGCAACATAAAGGCTTTGTTTTACATTTACTGTCTGGGATAGTTGCCAGTTCTGAGAAATAATATTTCACTATAGACTATACAAATATCCGTATATTCAACAGTTATGAAACTGTGTTTGTGATAAGAAATAATCTGAAAAATAGAGTTGCTATGTCTTTCTTCAAGGGTTTTATTTTCTACTGTACAATCTCATTAAGCAGTAAAATGACACCAAAGTACCCTTTTAAGTGGCAGAAGCAGCAGCCTGACTGATGCATTATTTAAATGGCCATGCCTTTAAAATTATGAACTGTGAAATTAGGAGTAGTGCTCTTTTTTTTTTGCTACATAATGCAAGTATATTGATTACTTCTGATAAAACCCTTTGGACCTGAGAAGGATGGACGAGCACAGGCAGCTGCACCAAAACATGTCTGTGTCTCTGCATACAACTGGAAGACCACGAATGTGAGAATGGTTAAATCCCAGCTCAAGCTGGATCCTTGCAAATCTATGGGGCCTGATAGGATTCATTCAAGAATCCTCAAAGAGTGGGGTGAGATCGTTACAAAGCTCATCATCATTGATTTTTGAGCAGTCTTGGAAATTCTAAGAGGTCCTAGCTGACTGGAAGCTGGGGCAAACATTGTCCCAGTTCTCAAGAAGGGCAAGAAGGAGGGCCCCTTCCACAGGCCTGTCAGTCTCACATCAGTGCCTGGTAAAGTTATGAAGAAGCTTATTCTGGGAGGTGTTGAAAAACACCTTAAAGACAATGCAGTCCTTGGTCACATCTAGCACAGCTTCATGAGAGGAAAGTCCTGCTTATTGAGTCTTCCTTTTGTGACAAGGTAATCCAAGGGAAACCAATTGATGTGATCTCTTTGGATTTCAGTAAAGCTTCCATTTCTCTCTCTCTCTGTATCCTTCTGGACAAAATGTCCACAACTGGAGAAACACATCATGGCATGGGTGAGAACTGGCTCATGGGCTCGGCACAAAGGGTTAAAGTGAAAGGGGTGACATTAGACTGGAGACCTGTCACTATGGGGCATTCCACAGGGCTCCATCATCAGGCCTGTGCTTTCTGATATCTTCATACATGACTTGGACGCAAGACTAGAAGGGACACTAAGCATGTTCCCAGGTGATACAAGTCTAAGAGGAACTCTTGACTCCCTCAAAGGGAGGGAGGCCCTGCAGAGAGACCCTGACAGATTAGACAGATGGTCAATTCACCAACCATATGAACTTCAAGAAGGGCTGATGCCAGATTCTGCACCTGGGATGGGGCAGCCCTGGATGTACAGACAGACAGTGCAATGAGAGGCTGGACAGCAGTGCCATGGAAAGGGCCCTGGGGTTCAGGTCCATGGCAAGTTAAACATGGGCCAGCAGTGCCCTGGCAGCCAGGAGGGCCAAGGGTGACCTGGGAGCATCAGGGACAGCACTGACAGCTGGGCAAGGGAGGGGATTGATTGTCCTGCTCTGCTCTGCACTGGGGCAGCCTCACGTTGAGTGCTGGGGGCACTTATGGGTGTCACAATAGAAGACATTAAAGTACTGGAGAAGATCCAGAGGAGGGCCATGAGAATGTTGAAGGTTCTGGAGAGGAAGCCTGATGAGGAACAGCTGAGCGCACTTGGTTTGTGAGGAGACCAAGAGGAGACCTCATTGCAGCCTGCAACTTCCTTGTGTGGGGAAGAGGAGGGGCAGGCACTGATCTCTGTGTGACTGGTGACATGACCCAAGGAAATCGCCTGAAGTTGTGTCAGGTGAGGTTGAAGATGAATATTAGGAAGAGGTTCTTCACCCAGATGGTTTTTAGGCTCTAGAACAGGCTCCCCAAGGAAATGGTCCAAGCACTAAGTCAGATAGATTTCAAGGAGCTTTTGGACAATACCTTCTGGCACCTGATGTGATTCTTGGTATGGCCCTTGTAGGGCTAAGAGTTGAACTCAGTCATACCTGTGGATCTCTTCCTACTTGGCATATTCCGTGATTCTGTAATTTTAACTGTCTTGTCCTGTTATGCTTTTGCTATACTGCAGCTAGCTGAAGAGCTGCTTTCTAAGTGCAGTTTGTGCTGTGGACTGAGAAGTCTGCATGTCTGAGGTTTTGTTTAAAAACTTTCTGCAACTTATGCAAAAAAAGCCACAGAAATAAAAGTTCCCCTCCATGTGGGCTTTTTCTTTTTCTCTAGAATTATGAACCAAAGCCATGTAAGCCTTCCTGTTGCTTTGTCTGCATCTTACCAGTAAAATGTGTTAACTGTTATCCTTTTAATTGTTTTGGGATTCAGGTCTTTCTGGCTTCTATGCTGAGGAGATCATATGTGATCTGGTTTGTGCAATTTGTGTAGGACACATGTACCAACAGACTGTGGAAATATTTTCAAACTGTTCATTATCTTATTAATATTGTTGATATTTTATTAAGTGGCCGTAGCTTCAATAGGAGATTTTACAAGATGCCTTTTCTTTCATCTTGAGTTCCTAGTGTGTAAGGAGTTTTCCAGAGGAAGAGTTAAAGTTCCTGCTGCAGAAGAGACAAAGTACTTGAACATTTCTGTACCACATTCCAGTCGAGGACCAACAGGTCAACGCTTTGAGATCTTTCTTGGTTTCATATGCACCCTGGTCCAGGTCTGATGATTCATTCAATTGAGCCCTACAGCAAAGAATGTGCCCAGTTGGAAACCCCACATTTCCATGTGGAAATACTTGGTTTGACAGTCCAACTGAGGCTGGCATAGGACATATCAGTACCAAGGCATACATCCCTTACAATGACTTGTTGTTTTATAGGTCTTGTTTGGAAAACTAAGTAA